CAATTATACAGCAGATCCTGGAATTGAAAACAGAATGAATCTTTGAAAATCCCTCTGAGAGGAACGTCATATTAAATTCACAATTGTTTTTTTTCCGTCCACTGGAACGCCTTTATCCAATATTTGAAATTTCAAAAACAGTACACCACATTATCAGGGATTCATAAAAATACATATGCGAGTGTCAATGTTGGAATGTGTGGTCACTTCGGTTATACTAAATCTTATATTTTTAAAGAAAGGTTGGTTGAGTAACAGAAATGAATTAAAAAAACAACTAACCTGTCTTCAGAAAAATTATTTGATCACTAAACTAGTCAACTTATTTTTATAACTGACTTCTCAATCACAGATTGAAGTTTGTCAGCAAATGACCCAGAGGATTTCAGTCTGGCAGGGTAACCTACCTTTCAGTTTTCTGTTGAAATTTGTTTTTTTCCGTTAACAAGCTGTGGTCCCCCTACGAGCGATTTCTATATTATGAGATAAAGCACCATTCTAGTAATACCACACTCTCTCCCTTTCGTCCTTTTCATCTAACATTTTACATGTGACATCTTTGGACTACCGTATCACATACCCAGCAATATTGTTTTGAATTTGAGTTCTCTTATCCGACATTTTTGTGTCCCTGAGACAAGGTGGGGATTTTTGAACCCCAATAATGATAGTGGATTAAACATTGCGTTCTTTGAAAATTTTGCTTCATTGATAATTTTTTTGAATAAGTGTTGTAGGCGGCCAACATCTGATATTCTTGAGAATGTGAAGCAGGGAATTGAAACTCGTTCATACTATTGTATGCAAGTTGATGGAAGTCAATTCAAACATTCGAGTAAATTTTTCCTGTTCAGTTTCACTTTCTAGTTCGGAATTAAATACAAACTTAGGTAATTATTTTTTTTACATTTCTTATCGTTGTGATGTTGAAAATATTAGATAGTTGGACACAGAACTGAACATCTTTCAAAAACTCGACTATTATTCTCATTTGAAATTTTTGACATGTGGGTTGTTGAGAGGAGAGAGTGACTAAACAACGTGAGAGTCAATTCCCTCAAGAATTGAAAATTACGCGTTCACGGAATTTTTACGAACTCAATATCAAATCCTTATGATGCACTTTTTGGAACCTTTGGTGTAGTAATGAATATTACTGGAGTTTTTTCCCAACACCAAATCGCTATTTTTAACATCTCGACACGTGTTTCGATCACCAAGCGATCATCTCCAAGAGGAAGAACTATCGCGAAGCTAACGCTATTTATGCTATATAGATATACCCTATAGGTAAACCCTACACCTGTGGTACACTTGTAGGGTTTACCTGTAGGGTATATCTATAATAGCGTTAGCTTCGCGATAGTACACCTGTAGGGTTCACCTGTAGGGTATATCTATATAGCATAAATAGCGTTAGCTTCGCGATAGTTTCTAGTTTAATCTTCCTCTTGAAGATGAGCACTTGGTGATCGAAACACGTGTCGAGGTGTTAAAAATAGCGATTTGGTGTTGGGAAGAAAACTCCAGTAATATTCGATATCAAATGACTGATTCAGGGTGGCTCGTTTTTACTGGATTGCAATTTGTTGTTCTATTTGAAATGAAACTCTTACGGCAAATTTTCGGTGAAAAACTATTTCAAACTGATAGATTATTTCAATGTATTTCTGATACCGGATGTTTAGAATCAAAATAGCCATATTTAATGAAAAATTCATAACTAGGTAGCCAGCACATTAAAGTTATATTCTGAATGACCATAGCGCATTCACCAATATTTGCTAAACGGTTCTATAAAAATACAGAGTAGACATCAATAAAAAATTGATATTGGGATATTATGCTTATTGAATGATATATTGATCATATTTCCCAATTCAACTTGATGCTCCTCATCCCATGTGAAGGTTCATTGAATATTTAAATACCTCAAGTTTACTGAGTATGAATTTCATATTAAAAAAATCTGTTCAATTATTGTTCATTGGATGCCTTATTTTTCAGTATGAGGAGAATATGTAGGTCACCGATATAACTGATCATCTAATAGCTACTTTATTAGTATACGTTTCAGTTAGTTTTGAAAGTATTTAAAAATTTTTCTTAAAATAGTGTTAAAAAATGCGATATTTGAGAGATATCACTGAGGTAGTCTGAGACGACTCATCAACCATGTGATATTGAGTATAATATGAATAATATGACCAAGAGAAAAATATTTACTCTTTGTCTACGAAAGTTTTTATTGAAATCTCTCCCTCACGGATGATGTCAACTTCAGCATTCCCAACGAATGGTTTGGGTGGAACTGTTCACAATGATTAATTATCAAATATTCAGTTATGAGAAATTAGGTGCATTTTAGAGAAAGTTTTGAAATGAAATATCACTCTTTGCAGTTTTCTCAACTTGTTGTCTTTAATATATTAGATATAGTAGGTTGGTTAAATGCTGATACATTGGATACATAGAATTCCGTAACCCCAAAGTAGAATCATATCTATGACAGTGTTTGTCTATTCTGGACAAAGCTGTTAATGGTTATATTTTCTGATACATTATTATGACATTGAGAAACTTTCGTATCCATTGGTCATTATGAAAGCTAACTTCGATAGACTGTTGTTCGAATATTGGAATGTTTGCGATAATTATCACATTTAATTGTATGTATATGCATTTAGGCTGCAAATAGAAATAATTATGGAGTCTACAAGGTAGCTCAAAAAGTGTGACATATCGAAGTGGTGTTTTTTCAAATAGAACCCCCTGTATTTCGTTACACTTTTGAATAGGCCAGGAAAAAATCATATGATTTCATGCCAGGAACTATATACCTAACTATAACCGCTGTCGAGTTATTGATTTTTCTTTGAAAATGTTAGGTACAGTTGGAAAATAAAATAACATCGGAATGTGTCGAAATCATTCCTTCGAATTCTGCACAAGCATGAAAGGGTTCTGGGCTATTGATTTCGATAAACTCCGTTTCTCAATATTATACAGGATGTTCAAAAATCATTATCACTTTTTTATAATTTCGGACAAAAACTACACCTCACAAACTTTATTTGAAAAATATATCACATCGTGTTTCGCTAGCACAGTAGCTTTATCAAGTGATTTGCATACACTAATATTTATATACTACAGGTAACCATAATTGAGACTACCTCCAAAAATTACTTGAACCTCTACCTAAGGTACCTGTTCAATTATGATCACATGAAGCATATTACCTTACATATACATCAATAATAATTCTTTCTTGGTTTTTAGGAAAACAAGTTCAATAATGGTGATCACCAAGGAGGATGAACATTCTTGGCTTTCATTTTATTTTCTGATGAATCTACTTCAATGGCTCAGTGAACAGACACAACTTCCATTATCATAGTGATATGAATCCTCATTTTTTCCTCACTCTGGATCACCAGAATAGATGGTCTGTTTGAGGAATTTTAGGTACACAAGTTATAGAACCATATACTTTAGATGGAAACTTGAATGGTCACATGTATAATATTGAGAAATGGGTTTTATCGAAATCAATAGCCCAACAATTTTTTATGTTGGTACCTAACATTTTCATGAAAAAAATCAATAACTCGAGAACGGTTATAGTAAGGTACATAATATCTTATATGAAATCATATTATTTTTGCATCTGAAAAAACACAACTTTGATATGTCACACTTTTTTGAGCCACCTTGTAGATGTTGAGAAAGTAAAGAAAATTGTTATCAGGAATCATCGAATCACTATTAGAGAAGTTGCTGAGGATTTTGGCACATGAGTTGTCTCATGTCATGCAACTTTTTTGGGAATTTTTTGCATGAAGCGTGTGGCAGCAGAATTCGTTCCCAAATGACCAAAGTCCCGATGAAAGAGCCCAGGAGAGCCAAGTTCGGTCAAATGTCAAGATTTTGCTCAATTTTTTCTTCCATTACCGTAGAGTAGTGCATCAGTTTTTGTCACATGATCGTACGGTTACCAAAAACTATTATCTTGAAGTAATGCGCCGCTTGCGAGAACAAATGCTAAGAAAATGTCCGGCATTGTGAAAAAACAATTCGTGGCATTTACAACACGAGAATGCACCTGCTCTCTCAATCATAATATTTTGGACAAAACAATACCGTAATCATATCCACCTCAGCCACTGTATTTACCAGATTCGTCCCTATGCGACTTTTTTCCGTTCCTGTTGGGGAAATGAAAACTGTATCGCTGAGAGAACTAAAGGACATACCAATAAGTGCATATCGGAACTACTTCAATGATTGGAAACAACGCTAGCACAAGTGTAATATATCTGAGGGTGACTACTTTGAAGTGGACAAAATAGAAACTGATAAAATAGCTCTTTATCTGTATTATGTCCAACTGTGTCTCTTGAAAGTTAAACCGCCCTAAATAATTCACAAGAGCTACGACCTATTACCGTTGATGGATTATACACAAATTTCTCAAACTACAGCTTTAACAAAAACTCCATCTGAAGTTTGGTCAGATCGTGTCTTAGTTCTTTTTCAGTGGAGGTAATTTTCAAAAGATGATTTTCTTCAGGATTCATTGTGTATCTGTATTGTTTGTAGCTGAATAGACGTGGAGTTGAAACTATCCCAAACAATACCGATAATTTATGATGCACTGTTTGGAACCTTTGGTGTAGTAATGAATATTACTGGAGCTTTTTCCCAACACCAAATCGTTATTTTTAACACCTTGACACGTGTTTCGATCATCAAGTGATCGTCTTCAAAGAGGAAGATTAATCTTCCTCTTTCGTCGAGGTGTTAAAAATAACGATTTGGTGTTGGAAAAAAACTCCAGTAATATTCAATACCGATAATCATATTTTCTACCTAGATATTAACGATGATCGACTTTATACAACTTCCTGAAATTGCGGCTCTAACAAAAACACGCTCCGAACTTTATTCCGAACACACAACGAACAAGCTCTGTACATGTAGAACGCTAATAACTTTACCTATGACTTGAACCTCGACGTCCCTCCTGGCCGTGTTTCTCTGCCGGTTCTGCGCTTGACACGTGTACGTGCCCGCGTCTTCTTTCCTTTGCGTCTGTTCGACCACCAGGGTGCCATTAGCGTACACTCTTTGCCGTCGGATCGTCGGCAGAATTTGTCCCTCTCGTTCCCACGTGATGGTTTCGATGGGATATCCAGCTACCGGGCACTTTGTTGGAGAACAGAAAAAGTAAATGGTGAATTCGATGTGAATTGCCGTTTGGGGGATTGTAGGTGCAGACTGGGGCCCCAGAACTAGTACTTTTTAGATTGTTTGCTTTCTATGATGGCTTTTTAAGCGATCGCTTTATTGGCGTGAATTTATTGCAGTTTCATTGTACAAGAAAACTAACTACCGGAAAGGTACCTACATTTATAACAAAAAAAATACAGGGCGTCCCACTTTTCATAAATTCAGACAAATATTTGGATGAACATTCAAATGTACTTCTTTTATTCCCTTCAAGACAATATTTTGGTCTCGTGATACCTGTTGCAATGATCTGATATTATATGGTGGCTGAAGAATCATTCAATGGATTTTATCTGTCTGTCTGTCTGCATGGGTTCTTTTAATTCTAAAGAGAAATCATCAATAGATTATTTGATAGAAGTCAAAAATTCAATACTTTGATCAAATACTTTTCCAACAGTATAAAATAATTCTTGAAATTGACCATTTATTATTAATGAAGTCATGTGATTCACATTTTTCATCAGTTCACTGAATATATTCAGTAAGCAATAACTACGCATGAAAAAACAATAAAATTTCAACTGAATTCAATATTTCAGGATGGCTTCCTTCAGTTCATTCCATTATCTGTTCACTGATTTAAGAAATATTATTTCCTCACTTGAACTAACACCTATTCACACTCGACCAAATAAATCCAGCTTCTTAACGAAGCCGATTAGTTTATATGGTGAGTGGTCTTTCAGGTCGGATGGTGAGAGTACTACTCTACCAAACTTTAAAAACCTAATTGGGTCCCTAGCGGGGCAGGCACAAATTATGTGCTCTGCTGTTTTATCATTTTCCAAACAGAAGTGGCATACACTGTCTTCCGACAGTCCGAGTCTCTGCATATGATGATTCAAATGACTGTGACCTGTAAGAAGGCCTGTTAGACATCGTAGTTCATTTCTATTGTAGTCCAACAACTGTTTGGTATCAAGCTTCGAAAGGCGAATGAACGCCTTGGAGTGAGCTAATCCTGTCCATGAATTTTCTTGCCATCAAGGCGATCAATCTTTGTTTGGAAAAGCCTGAAGCGATGCCAGTGAAAGGTTCTGGTCCGATGAAGCTGCTTGCAGCACCTTCCTTTGCAACGAAGTCAGCAGCCTCATTATCTTCCAGGCCAGTATGGCTTGGAATCCAGAGCGGAGACTGGCAAGTCTTCCTATCGAGGAGAGTTATTTTTGGCAATTTGTTACCAATTCAGACGTTACTCGGTAGGAGCCAAGAGCTTCCAACGCCGCTTGACTGTCCGAGAATACTTTTATTGACTCGTGTATGAGGTTGGATTCTTCCAATCTCTCCGCACACAATTCAATAACGTAAATTTCCACAGTCGCATAGGTTCGTAGGCAAGTTGATATCTCTGTCCTGGGTCTGCGACTAAAACACCTGTACCAGAATCGGAAGGTGTTTTCGATCCATCTGTGAACCTATAACTATCTGCTCTCAATATTGCCTTCTCCCGGAGGATCCAGTCCTCCAATGCCTACACACTTTGACTTCTCTACTCCACATTAGAATGAGGATTGTTGTGCCCAAGTAAAGAATTGTAGCTGTTGAAAATGCCGGCACTGCTCACATAAGCTTCTTCTGTCCAAATATAATTTACCAAAAAATCACAAACTTGTTTACAACTTTCCAGAAACCACTGGCAAAAAGCAATGCGGCATTCAAAATCTCCTGGTCTGAGTTGATGAACTCTTCCAATCTTGTATGGATTGAATTTGTAATTTTTCAAAATTTTCGCAACGTTAGTTTTTGGTAGACTTGTTGATATTGTCAAATTTGCGTTGTGTCGCAATCTTGCGAAAATGTCTCTAAAAGGTTGTCTTCTCTCTGGATACCTCAAGTGATCTTGCTTCTTCTGCATTTTCTTCGGTTTGTATAAAACAGACTATCTGATTCCGTTTTTCATAATTCTCTTACTTCATTGCGAATGTGTTTGAAAATTGAATCAAAACCACTAATTGAAGAGCATCTATAATACTTAAATCAAAATTTGACAGCTACCAGTAAAGATTTGCATTCTGTTTTATTGCCACATCGTCCAAAGTCTACTTCATCAAAGTGTGCGTTTCAAAGTCTACATATAAAAACTCATTTCGAATAATAACTGCATATTTGGTACATATGTTCCATGCCTCAAGGCGCATTTTCTGATGTACAATTTTCTTAATTTTCTCTGCCAGTGGCGTACGTACGAGTTTTGAAATGTATATTTTTGGCGAAAAAAATACTACGCCACTGCTTTATTTCGAATTAAAAATTATTTTTAAAATCTCCATACATTTTTGAGCACATTTGATTTCCTGGGTTTTCTTTGTCCGACGCATGGTTTTTGCTCAAAAAATTAAAAATCGCTTTACTTAAGGATAAATTCCTTAAAAATCTGATGCGGTATCGTGCATCGACTGAAAGCAAACTAAGAGATCAGATTTCTTGCAAAATAATTGAGGATCT